ATTTAAAATTATTTCTGAAAATTGTGCAAGATCCTAATTATAAAATTAAAATACTATTTATTTAGACGTTCCCATAGAATTATCAAATAATACTGAGACATTTACTGGACACTAAAAATTAAAATAGATTTTTAGAATATTTGATATCAAGAAAGGGCATGCATGAATAATTTAAAGAGTGCTTATATAGAAATGCCACTATCTATATAAATGTGCCTATTAGTACGATAATAAACGTATTAATATTGTTAGTGTACCTATTAAAGTGAAATAAAATTTCAACCAAAAATTTTAATGTAACTGTTTTAAAAATCATTATACTTTCTACGGTGTTTCTTGCACTTGTAAAATTTGATAAATATTTCCAACAATAACAACTTATCAATCATAAAATGTTGATAACTGTTGTACAAATATAGTGAAATTTAATCGATAATTACTAAGTCTTTTCTTAGCATCATCTAAGGTATATTTAAAATAAATAAATTTAATTATGTTTGTTTAATTTTTATTTATTTTAAACTTAAGCAATTTAATTTTAATGTCAATGAATTCTTAACGTAATTAGCAAGTACTTCATAAGTTACTTTTGTACATCATGAAAGTAATATTTATGCTACACCTATTGACGCTATTTATACAACTTTTCCTGAAAACAGGTTTATGCATACTATCGATCTTGTTGTTATTCATTCATCAGCAGCTTTAGATACAATATAAACTATAAAGTTAGTAATATAATTTAAAAAATATAAGTATAAACAGTGACATAAGATCCTAAACTTTCACATAAGTAAAAAGATAATTCTGAGAGTTAAAATGAGAGATTAAAACCGACTAAATACCTAACTAACAGAGCAGAGGTATAAAAGCATAAAAAAGTGCAGACCAGAGATTTGTAAAATAAGCGTAGTGAGAATGTCTCAATTAAGTAGTTGATAAAATAAAGAGACAAAGCAAAAGACAGGAAGAGAGAAATATTAGTAAATAGTGAGTGGTGAATAAAAAATAGTTAAAAATAAGTAACACGTGGTATATAAACTAAAAAACTGAGGCTAAATACACAAGTGAGAGAGAAAAATTAAAGAAAAAAAGTGGATATAACAGGTCACAGACTTATAAGCTTTTAAAAAAAGATAAGTGAATTAATAATTTTAGATTTAACAGTTGAGAAGGCACCTATAGCCCAATGAAAATTTTAAAAGACTTTTACACAAAAAGTAAAGAAATGAAAAAAAAATAGAAGAAGGACATAAAAAACTTTCAGAAGTACAGATAGCAAATAAAAAAGCTGCGCACATTATGAACAATGAATACAATACGTTGAAAAAATTGAGAAACATCAAGAGCCCGTCTTCTCAATTATTAATCAAACTACACGTTATCCTCAAAAACTAGTGGACAGTAAGTGCTTGGATACCCAAACGTAAAGTTATACTACTATGACATTATATGTGTCATTCATTCTCAAACGCTGCCAAGTGTAAAGGACCCGCATACATCTAATCTTACAGTAAATTTAAAACCACTACCTACTTTAAAAACGTAGCTATTTGCTGAAACTGTAAAAAATATATGATAAAAATTTTTTTTTTTTTTTTCAATACTTCAACTTTATTAAAAAAGCAACAAAGTTCTAAAGCCTAATCGCTCAAATTTTTGTTACCATAATAAATACCAGTACATCTTCTTAGCCCTATTTAAAAATCTAAAAAATTAAAGCAATCGTTTTCAGGGTTATAATTGAAAGTTTATCTTTAACTTAATGGCTTCTTTGTTTGTCGATTTTCTCGCTGCTGTTTTAATCTTAATAAATAATCTGCGTCAGTATATTAACACCTGAAATTGTATACATTTTAAGCATTTAACGTTATTCTGTAAATTCACCCCTTTGCGACTGTAGGCATGGTTAAAACTTCTGTAAGACCTAAAGGCTGTTATTTGTCAACTGAGTTAAGTTGTTATACATTTATTAGCAAGGTAGTTCAATGTCTGCTGGCCTTAAAAAGGACCAGTAAGTTAAACTCTTGCTTGACAGAAGTTTCCAGCAAACGTGACTGCCTGGATACCTCAGGCTTATCTTCTCTGGCTTAATGTAGCACCATACTAATCGGAAGGAATAATACAACTTCTTTAGCGTCGGAGCTAGTTGTAAAACTATTTCCCAGTGTTACTTTGCAGACGTTGATGTCTAAAGCACCTCCTTTTTTTTACACAGCTTAGTCGTTTTGGTAATGTAACTTGAGAAAATGGGTTTATGATGCTTGCCTGTTAGAAACTATCCTGTTTGCTCAAGTTTATTTTTCTTCATAGCTGTTAGGTACGCCCAGCGCAGACCTCGGAGAGTATTAGTGATTTCTCGTTAAATGCTTGGAGTCAAGAGGGTAATGTAGGGTCGTCAGTCACCGGGGTTCCCAGCCTTGCGACGAACAACTCCCCTTGTGACATCTGACAGTGAATGAGTGACTTGATTTTATAGTGGCCGGCTCAAAATAGTCTTTTAGTGGACGAATGATTGCTAGAAATGGTTGTAAAAATGTATTTTTTGGAAAAGTAGTTTAACGTTAGATGGCCCTAAAAAGAACCGATGAGATTGATGGTTTAATAGGAAACGTAAATACGTCCTCTTTGGGTGTGCTGTTAAGACAAACCACTGAGTTGGAGGCTGTTGAAATTTTTAACTTCTCGGGGATGTTTTCCGTGGATTACTGGTGTAGCAAAATTTACTCTGGTAGCATCAGGTCGGTTGGAAAAACGACTAAGAAACACCAAATTGTTAGAGCAGATTGTGTTCTGGCTAGACATTTCCTAGTATTACGCTAGAGGCGTTGGTTTTTACAAAGCCTTTCATTTGTTTCACTTATCAATTTTAGTAGTTAGAGATAGATTTGGCAATGAGTTACTTATCCATTGAAGGAGAAAGTTGTCGGTAGCGAGATCCCCAGCTGCAAGACTCACAACTCTATTTTCGATGGACTGTCAGTGAACGACTATTTATGTTTGGCAATTTTCTCGGGGATATTATAACTAGACCCACTTAATTTAATTATAAGTAGTTTTGATTTTAGTTTTACGCCACCTGGCGGACCCTACTAAACTAAAGTGAAAAGCTAGGATAATTTTGCAAAACCTTAGGCTTATTTATTGCTATTGTTATTAACTTCATCAAGATAAAAACTATACGAAACCTATCTAGGAAGTGTCAAGAATCCATATGCAAAATTTAAGTAAGATCAGGTTAGTAGTTTTCGCGATTAGCGATTACAAAGATTTTTACGACTTTGCTTTATTTATTAGTTAGATTAGAAGTATGTGTAATTAATGATTGTAAATTAGGAAATAAAGAGGTACAAATTAAGTTAGCGTTAACTTGTCACGGCTCTTAACCTTGTCATTAGGATTATTTGAATTATATTCTAAAAATGACACGATTGGCTTTTGACAACTAAATTAAAAAATACGAACATTTGATTCTACTTTAAATTAACATCAAAGTTGAAAAATCATCTTTTAGGTATGCAAGAATCGGGATCGTTTGTAGCAGAATAAGTCGAGTATTTTGATCGCGTTCAACAGATTGCTGGTTCGATTTTTATAGGAAGTATTTTTTCTTTCAGGAATTAGATGAAGAATAAAGAAATAAAATCAAAATCAAAATTTACTTTATTGAGATATCAAGATGTATGTGCTTTGATAGTGCAACTCGAGGTGGTATGGCTTAGTGATATTTGAAGTGTAGTGTAGCAGAGTAAAGTGGTTAGGAACAAGCGACCTTCCATATTGGATTTTACACCAATGAGCATAGAGAGTGCGTCGTTCAACTACACATAAACAAGAGTACAGGGTAAAAAATTTACTCGATAAATGTTATGTTTAAAATTTGTTATGTGCACTGTTTTACGTATAAATATAATTCTATATGATGATCTGATTATTTGTAAAATATACAATAAATAAAGTTTATTAAATATTTCAATAAACAAATTTTACAATTTTTATTTCTTTTCCTTAGAATTTTAACATCAGAAGTCAGCTTTTTCGTTCATCTCTGGCAATCTAATTTACGTTATCGTACGTACGAAGCTTTTAATTTAATACTGCTTCTCGAGTCAAGTTGTATTTATTCTCAGCAATAAAGTGTAAGTAGTTAAATAACGCACTCTCTACGCTCATTGGTGGAAAATCCAATATGGGAGGTTGCTTGTTCCAAGCCTCCTGATTGGCTGATCAGTTCGGGGGCTGAAGAGCCCACCTTATGTATTTTTTACACCATGGTTAAAGTGATGTAGAAAAATATTTTTTCCAAGCCTTAATTATGAACAATTAATAGTAAAGAACTAAATTTTTATGCTTATATATAATACTAAAAATATTTGGTTCATTGTGATTTGATTACCCGTGTATTAAATGGTATATATTTTAACAAAAAGTAATTTTTTTTTAAGGTTCTATTCTTTTGTATGGACAATATTAATACAAAATATTCAAGAAATTTTCATTAATTTTCTTCGAGTCAAAATTTAAATTTATGTGTAAACGATCTCCATTTTTATGCAACAATGAAAATCTCTTATAAATAATATTTACGATTGTGTTAAGCTTTCTGACCTTAAGTAATTTATAACATCGTTAACCACGTAAGAAACTGCTGTAAAATGAAACCATAATACAATTGAGCCCACGCGAGTCATTTATCATTTCTTTTGTTTTGACACAGTCCATAATCTACAAATTTTTTTATGATGAAGTAACTAAAGTTGTGTAGCATAAATAGAAAATAATAATTCTACTAACAAAGGTAAGTAACATATTTTTTTGTAATTGTGTAATTGTGAAAAACTAGTGTGAGCGAGAGATTAAGCCAAAAGCAAGTCAAATTACGCATACAAGTAAAATATACATACATTCATTCAGAACCAATTACAAGCTTAATTTAGGATTTTTCTACATAAGAAACTAAGTAGTATTAAGGAAAAAATGTAAAAAAACGAAATAGTCACCTTAATAGTTGCAAAAATCATATTTTGACGTAAGCGTAGTTGTTTTTTCTGCCAAAGATTAACGCCTCTTTCGTACTGTCGCCTTAATTTTTCGGCAGCATCTGTCGCTTCTTTATCTGGTGGATGAAGTATAAAACAAACACCCGGCACAGGTGATTCGATTCCTTGTGAGTTTTTAACTCTCCATTTAACTCGTCCAGAGTTGTCATAAAGAGTACATTGTTCATTCTTTTCAATACTTATCTGAAATCAGAGTACACACACAATTATAAACATCCAAACAAAAATTAAGTAGTATCTACTTTATAGATTATTCTAAGGTAATATTTAAACTGCACTTTTGAGGTAACACATACTTTTACTATTCGTTGCAAATGTAACTATATTTTTATTTTTACAAAACAATTACATTGTTAAAAAGAGAGCCGTATAACCTTCCTCGTAATAATCGAAATTTACTATTTTAAAGTCGTTGCAGCTCAGTTTGTGAAAAGTTAATCTGAGATACAGCTTTTGTTAGGCGAGGGTTCAACTCCTGGTTAAGTCAACTTTTCAAAAGATGAATCTGAATAAGATTTTTCCTCGAGTCTCACGGCTTGCTTTGCACCACAGGGCAACACTGTAGGAGCTCTGTGTATAGAATACAGGCAGAACCAATTTAAAGGGTCGTGTAAATTTGAAAAAGGAATTTGAAAGGGATCGTTGGATGAATAACTGAGATAGGTAATACTATTAAGGTCATTAGCCCAATTTTGAATTTCCTAGCACTTGATCAAAGGCGCTAAGCACGTGTTGTTAATGCTTGATAAGGACTCCCACTCCTATTTCCTTGCCATGCTCATCGTGCAGTGAAGAGGTACTAATAATAGCCCTTGCCATTCCTGTGTTCATGTTTTGAGTTAACATAGGGCAATTCTATAATAAAGTTTGTCGAACATGAAACCTGTAATGTGATTGTGTGCAAATAATTCGAGTCCGTTTAACAACTCTTATTATCTCCCAATGCTCGGCCTAGCGTGCACTTGACACATTGACTTGAGTCTTTGGTTTATTTATTTGGTCCTTCGAGCCAAATACCGAGTAAATTGGCATCAACCAGGATATTGTTGGAGGACCATGAGATGTCAGCAAAGTGGTAATCTCCGGTGATGGTTGAGTTCAGTACAGCGTGCATGTGTTGCAAGTGAAAAATTCGATTACATTCGCAGCTCATCACCATACAAGCGTCAAGTGTACGAGATAGCGCAATCCTATCTCGCGACCATTATCTATCGGTAGGGGCCGATCATTGGCCATATTTCAAGAAGCAGGGCCGAAAAGAATAGCAGGCAAAACTTTTTCATGCTGCCCACCCCCTCTGTCTTATCACACAGCAAGAGACGACGATGAGTAAAATCGCGCGCACGGCTCCAAGCAGAGGCTCCAAAGCAGCAGCATTCTCTCTCTCTCTTTTCCTTTTTCGGAATTGCGTTAGATATGTCCGGTGTGTTGAGCACAAAACAAGCTCAGTGTAAAAATGCGTGCCTGCGGTTTGTTACCGGTACCCGTTCAGATCACGTTACACCTGTATATAGGTCTCTAGCGATCTTCCCTTTCCGTGAACGCAAAATTTACCTGGGTATTTACCTGCTCATTGCGGTGCTTAGGCGTGGTCAACCTTTGTACCTGCCAAATTGCCTAGTGTGTAGATCCCAGGACGAATATGGTACGCATCATTGCTCAGAGTTGGACATAAAAACAGCACGCGCATTCACTTCATGCTGTCAGAGTGCGTTTCAAGTTGCCATTCCACGTATTTGGAATGAGCTGCCACCTGAGTTACGCTTAGGCTACGATTTACCCAGTTTTCGAGGGTGGCTCCGTAAGTACTTTTTAGCGTTAATGTTAACGCATGGATGGGCATGGACGAGAGTGAGTCGTATGTGTCACCTTTTTTGTTATTTTTCTTCTTTATTTTTATTTTGTTTCATTTAGTTTAAGCTAAGTAAGATTTGTATACTGTGATTGCCACGACGTTGTCGGACCTTGAGTCCTTTGTCGTCAATAAATACTCAACTCAACTTTTATTATCTTTCATCAACAAGCGGCTTGGACAAGCGAAGGGATGGCAGACCGCTCCGTAATTTTTCCATGCTCTCCCTCCACCCACTAAGCTATACATACACTTGTGCATTTTCTCTTAGCACCGTATTCTCTCTTTACGCCATCAGAGAGCAGCAGATACTCGGCAATCAGTATACGCTTCTAGTAATCTATGCGTCCCGTTGCGGTCGTTCAGAAATCCAATGCTTGAAAGCGGAAAGCTTGAGCAGTGCTACCAAATTTACTATTATAAAACTCTCAAGACTATTGCTTCCACTCACAATGGCTGCCCAAGAGATCATGGACCCTCTGTTGGCGAAGCAGAAAGCCTCATTTTCTTATATCCAAAAATCCATCATTAATACAGAGAAATTAAAGGCCACGGATCCTTTCTCTGTCAGTGACTATCAACATCGTTCTTAGATTTTTCACGGCTATTAGCAGAAATTCGAACATAATAATATGACACTGTGCTCTTATCAAGAGAAGTTACAAGAGCAATCTTACTACAAAGAAAACCTGTACGATAAAGCCTTGGCAACCTACTCCACAAGTGTAAGTCACCTTCAACAATTATCAGATGGCCTTGCGTCTCCTATCACAATAGACCTACCACCAAGCGGCGGGGGTCCACGCACCGATGATAGCGCTTACTCTCAGCTAGAAAAAGTTGAGCTTTTTGTCTGTCACGATGATCCGAAAGAATGGAAAAGCTGTAGTGATGAGTTTCAAGCCCTTGTAATAAACGACAACAGCATCGTGCCCGTGATTAAGCTCCATCATCTAGTCAACTCATTGACCGGTGAGCCCATTATAGTTACGCTTGTATTCCGCACTGATTTCGCCTATTAAACTAGAGCACTTCTTGACTCCTGCTCACAAGAGTTCTACGTCGCAGCTTACGTCGTGAAAGCGCTTCATGCAGCTATTACACCTACTCGCATTGCTATCAATGGTGTTGGTGAAACGACATCAGTTTCTAAAAGGTAGGTCAATCTCACGATTAAGTCAAAATTTGATCCAACTTTTTAACTGCAGTGTAAGTCGTTATCTTTGAAGAAGATGACTTCATTGCTCCCATCCACGTCAGTCAAACTGGACGCCTGGCTTCATCTCCAGAACTTGAACTAAGCCGACCCACACTGCCGTTACTCGAGCGAATTAACAGTCTTCTAGGCTCTGAGGTATTAGCTACTGCTCTACAGCCTGGCTTCATCGCTGGCCCTCCAGATACTCCATCAGCCTTTAACACAACTTTCAGCTGGGTAATTATCAGTGGAACCCGATCGTCACATCATAAAGTAACCTAAACGAAAACTTTTACGCTGACAATCAATCAAGAACTTGCTCTGAAAAAGCGTCTTGCAAAAAATGAGACCTTGTGACAGGCATACTCCTGCTTAATTAAGCAGTATGAGAATATGGAGAATATGGGATGTATGGTTCCTGCCCCCCCCCCCCGGATTTGTAATCAGCTGAGCCAAGTGTTTACATTCCGCATTACCCGGTATGACGTAATGGTTCCTGCACCAAAATTCATGTGGTGTTCAACCCTTCCTATAAGGATGCCATGGGCCAGACTCTAAACAGCTTCATGTTGACAGGGCCGAACCTGCTTGCCGATCTGCAAGTCGTGCTTCTTCGTTGGCGGCTCTCGAAAATTGTATTTGTCTGCGACATCATCAGAATGTTTAGACAAGTCATCGTCAACCCTGCTGAGATGAACTGGCAGCGGATAGTGTATCGCAAGCACCCAGGAGTGCCTATTGGATACTAGTGCCTCACCACTGTGACATAAGGCACAGCCTCTGCACTACGGTTTCTCAGACACTTCCAAGAAGACATACGGTGCGGTAGTATATCTTGTAGTGTACTATAAGGAAGGTAGCCACTCACACCTTCTGACACCAAGTCAAGGATTTCTCCAGTCAAGATGTTAAATGTCCCTCGTTTCGAGCGCATTTGCTTGCTTGGCTGCTACATTTTGTCGTTACTGAGATCGTTCTTAATGCAGCTGAGTGTCATTACTGGATGGATTTACAAGTCATGCTTGCGTGGCTATGTGGACACCCACCGCGTTGGAAAAACCTTCACCACCAACCATGTGAGCGAGATTCACACGCTTTTGCCGTCAGCCACCTGGCAATACGTTCCCTCCGTAAAGAACACAGCCAATTGCGCGTCGTGTAGTACCACAGTCGCTCAATTGCGAGATCATGCTCTTTGGTGGCACGGACCTCACTGACTTACGAGACCAAAACAGCGACTGGTCAACTTTCTCTTTACAGGAGCCCAACACTAACTTAGATCTTTGTGTAAAGAGCACTTTTTTCCCGATCTCTGAAAATGCGCCCTATTGGCAAGAATGACTTTCTACCTTCTCCTGTTTTACTAAGTATTCATATCCTATACATTCGTATACATTCGTATCCTAGCATACATAAATCGCTTTAAAAATTTAGCAGCCTCTCCAAGCCGAAAGCCTGCTTCGTGGCTAACTGCGTCTAAAATTTCGGCAGGATGCACCTATCTATGGCACGTAATACAACAATTTGAGTTCCCGCAGGATTACGAGGCACTACTCCGCAATCGTAGTGTCAGTTTGTCCAGTCGTCTCTGAAGACCAAATCCGTTCATGGATACCGACCGCATAATTCGGGTTAGGTGTCAACTACACAATTCAGCCCTGACCGAGTCAGAGAAACACCAAATGATCTTGCCTGCCAAACATCAGACGACCCTACTCTTGATCGAGGACACGAACTTATTTACTCTTCATGGAGGCCCTTTTCTTACATACAACACCCTTAACAGGCAATTTTGGCTGCTTCGTGGGCACAACACCGAACGACACGTCGAGCGCCAGCACGTCATATATGCCAGACATAAGGACAACACAATGTCTCAATTGATGGGCCTTTTACCCCCACAGCCATTTCAGCCGTCAAGCCCATTTACTTACACTGGCATAGATTACGCAGACCCCATATGGTACAAGGCCTCCCCCGAACGAGAAAAGAGGGCCATGAAAGGCTACTTGGCTTCTTCGTATCCCGTAGCACCAAAGCCGTGCACCTAGAGATTATTGTCATCTACTCCTCGTCGACATTCCTTGATGCTTTCAGAGATTTTACGAAGTTTAACAAATCCTGTTTATTTGAAATTTGACTGGCCAAACCTGATCATGTGATTTTAATAAGGTAAAAAATTTAAATGGAATCGTCGAGAGCGATGATGTCGCAGCTTCAGACATCTAACGTACGCAAGTAGAGGTGAGACTCTAGACTCTCCCTTCTTTCATCTCGTAACCAGGAGCCTTAAGGCCAAGAGAAGGGAAGAAACGATACGATGAGCTTTGAAAGAAAATCCACGCGCGTCTTTACCTTACGAAAGGAATATCTTCAATGAAGGTCTTTAACGTAATTAGTGATTATTATTCCACGATGCATCTCTCTACCAATCTCTTTTCCACATAATGATTTTAAAAAATTGCTAAATTTTTAGCTAAACATTTGTTTGTCCATTTATTTTATAAAATATATTAAAGGTTTTTAGACAAAAACGTACGTTTATCTATCTTTAAATGTGTTTACACCTTAAATGAGCTTAGAACCTAAGACAATAAAAATCTATTTTCAATATAGTTTTGTAGTACAGTCACACATATTTGTAAAGAAAATTTTGACTAATAAGAGAATTCACAAAGTTGCCGTATTCAGCAGCATTATTTCCAATTTCACAAATTCAAGATTTATAATACGTATAAGAATGAACATGCAGTAAGAGTACACAAGCAGCATAAGGTAAATAAGAGGAATTCCAGATTTTTTCCTATTATTTTGACTTACATTATTTTTTATCAAGATACCCCATTACCACCAACCAATCTCATACACTGTCGAATTTTCATATAAAAATACTTATTTTCCGATACCACTCAAAAAACAAACACATGGACTTTATACATACAAAACAACTATTAGCTATTGCTTTAACATGACATAGCTAAGAGAAGGATCATAAATTAAATAATATAAGTTTTATTTTAGGTAATATGTAAGTATGAAGTTCTTGATGAGCTCATTTTTTTTTTTTTTGGTAATATTAGTAATGAACTGCGTAAAAAAATTTTATTTTTTCACGTATTTGTATAATTTGTCACTATTACATGTATAAATTCAAATCACACTTAGTTTTGCAGTAATACTAACTATGGAAGTATCACCCTATGAAGCACACTCATTATCATGAGTTAACTTACAGAGCCAGTCGAGTATTATGCATTTACATATGTATGCATACTAGCGGGGCTCTACTACCCGAAGCCTTTTGCTTGTCAAACCCCATAACTCTATTTTTACGTGGAGTTCATCAGGTTTTCATAAAAAAATGTTGTAATTATAAAGCTTATGCATTTTTCTTCAAAAGTTATCTCTACTTTTCTTGATGGTTTTTTTATGAATCTCAAAATTAACTCAATTAAATAAAAAAATCTGTTTATATTTTAGCAATAATAATTTATTAAAACATTGATTAGAAGTCGTTACGTAATTACATATTTACCTTATAATTATTAATATTTTTGTGAAATGTCTTTTTACTGCAATTATTTTTTTAAATTTTACCACATTCAGGACAAATTTAATGATTTTCTGTACGTGTTTGGCAATGTAATTTTATATGCCGTCGTGAATGTGTATTCTTTTAAATTTTGCTTGACATACAGTGCATGTATTATTTTATAACCACAAAAATTTTTTTCTTTTTTTTTTTTTAAATTTTACAGCCATTTCTGAGAGCTGTGCCCAACAGGCTCTGCAGTGCTGTATTACTATGCATAATGTATACTATTGTCAGTGGCATAGTGAAAAACCACCTCAGATTTCATTGTGATATCCATCACTTACATAGCAACAGGGACTTGTATTTTACATGGAATCTGATTCATCGGTCCACGGTTAGAAATACGCACATGAGCAAGTAGATTTTCTCAGAGATACGAGCCAAGTGAGTAAGGGCCGGGTCTTGAACTTGTCAGCATGTGTTACCAAGCCCCCCAAGCTCCAAGAACCGCAGCCTAAACCACTGGGCTACCGTGGCCGGTATATATAACATGAATGTGAATCTTTAATTGCAGGATCGAACAATTATGGAAGTATGCACTACTACATATGTGATGAAATATGAATATTTCAAGATATATTATATTGAATGATTTCTTTTTCTAATCCAATGGTTAGTTATTTACTTAAAAATGTTGTTAATCGATAAATATTTTCAACATCATCAAATATCTTTCTAGGAGATATTACAACTAGGATTTTTTTTTACCAATAGGAAAAATCTTGGGTTACTACAAAATCAAGCTGTGGTTGTAGAATTAGAAAAATAAGTATAAGTTTATGAAAAGATATAAAAAAATGCAGTGGTGATAATATTTTCAGTTTTTGAATCTTATAATTTTTTTATACTTATTTTGAAATGCTCTTGTTTCTTAAATAAGAAAAAACTATAATAATGATGATTGTGATATTAAAATTAATTTCACACATATTTTAATGGATAAAAATAATTTTCATAACTACATAGCTACAGTATTGACAAATCAAAACATAAGAAACACCTATTACGTTCTTTTGGAGGAAGGAGAGTGTATGATTGGACTTGCGGTATTTTTAATTTGGAAAATTGGTCGCATCATAAAGAAGAAAACAATTTATTGTACTTCAGTATATATTTTGAAAGTTGTCTGTAAAAAGAATATTTAATGACATAAATTCCTTCAGAGACAAAAAAGTAAAAAGCTCGTAAAATATGGACTACTTAGAATCTTTTTATGCATTTGAAGCAATTTTAAAATTAAATACAATAATAACTTAAGAGCTTTAAAATCTTAGTAATGAGTTGGTTGTGAGTCTTGTTAAATGAAGATTAATATTTTTTTTTAAGATACATGAACCAAGAAAAAAATTTTATGTTAAAGGAAGCCTGCCAAATTCCTTGTGAACAACGTCACCAATACAATTCGTATGACATGTATTGTAGATCATCCTCAGCAAGCAGCCAGAAAAGAGACTCAGAAGCACTGCTGAAAGCAATGGACCTGCAGGAAGCTGTCAACTCGATTCAAATACAAGTAGCATACCTAATATCTAGGTGTAAAGCTACATTGTACAGTAGGAGGATGCGCTTGACCTTGCGTAATCCCAATTAAGTGACCTGCACAAAACCCCTCTCCCGAAATCTTTTAGCTCAGCCACGGTCAAAATTAACAGCTGCATCCCCGCTAGGAAACCTAAATAACGGGATCTCCTTAAAATCACCTCCAAACACTGATTCACCCATCTAAATACAGTATAGTGAACACATAATCGCTTTTTCAAGACCTCTTTAGTATCTTTGACAATTTTTCAGAGTCAGAACCCAAAGAGGAAACTGTTGCAAAGAAGAAACGACCTTCTCTAATCACTTTTCTTAAAACTGTACCATCGCCAAAAATAAAAAAGGCTCTTAAGAACAATAATATTCCTCTTCACCAGGCTGTACCTTTAACGGGGTGTGGATCTTCCCAAAGACACTATACAGCTCCCACCTGATACCACGAGAGACGCCAGAAATCACAAGTATACTAGTTACCAGCTGAAACAAGATCGAGAGCTGGTAGATGTCATCCATGGTATACACAAAAGTTATACCGAGGAAGAAGTACTGGCCGAAGTTGAGGCAAAGACCCCTCCAGCCCGACGTATACACTTTATACATAAGGATGAGATAATCTGGCCCCTTGTCATGGCCCACTTCGATTCATCCTCCAAAGACTATCAAAATATCTTTAATCTCTGCTCTATTGGCGGTCTAAGCGTGGAGGTTAAGACTAAACGAAAATGTAATAAGATACAACAATGCCATCACTGTTGCACATACTTTCACACGGCAAACTACTGTCGTGTTCCTTTCCGCTGCACGTTTTGCAGCCAGAATCATGCCACTCTAGCTTGCTTTATAGAAGATGACCAGAAAACCTCTCCAAAACGTACTATCTGCAACAAGACACACTGCACTACATATCAGGATTGCACCGAAACTTTCAAAAAGACTATCACCCCTCCTAAAACTTAATTCACTTTTTTTTGTTGAACTTCGAAAATCTTCTTAAATAGTAACATCACACTCTCTTATGCAATTACTTTTGCTTCCCAAAAAATGTATCTACCAATACCAAAAATACTTTACTACCCCTTTTTAATACACCTCCTAATAATGCACTTGTCACAGGGACTCTTCAGGCCACAATTCAGATTGCTGTGACCACATTCTTAGGATAAATCACCTTTGCTATGTTTCAATAACACCCATAATTAGAACATCTCATGATGTCAATTTACTGAAACTGAGCTGGAATATTAATAGTATACAATACAAGACTGCCAAACTATCCCTAATTGTTGACAATTAACAAATCGATGTTGAAAGTAACACAAAAATCCATTTGCAACCTTACAAATCACTGTACATCCTTGATTACACCATTTATCAACGTCACCGACAATAAGGCTCTCATCAACAACAACACAGCTAACTGAAAAGCAGTCACTATAACGGAGCACACTTCTTCCTCTTCATCCATAAGAATAGTCACTTTGTATTCTCCACCCAAAATAGACAATAAATTGTAGTGTTTGGCTCCACTTTTTAACTTTAGCATCTTGACATTAGTGGCTGGCAACTTGAACGCCAAAAAATTCTCCTGAGATTGCATATACAGAAACACTACAGGAGAGTCTCTCTTAAACATACTGCATAAACTCCAAATTAACGTTTAAAACCCTCCTTAATTAACAGACTCCTCTATCAACCCAGAAAAAGATCTCGATATCCTAGGCATCTTTCTAGTTACTTACATTACTGCCTTTAAAGATCACTGCCTTTCAAGCCACCTCCCCTGTAATCACAACCAAGTACGAGACTGACTCAACCCATAGACTAGCTCCTCCTAGAATATAACCTATAATCCTCTCCTTTCAAGAATCTTTATTAAAATCAAAACTTAGATGAAGCGATAGACGAACTAACAAAAGA